AACAGAGAATTCGGTATCATGCCATTTTGTATACGACCATTGCCATATGACAGAATACTTCAGATTGATTGCATGTTATATATGCGATTTCCCGGTGAAGGTCAAATACGATTCGTGGGGAGTGTTTGCTAAACCGTGTGAGTCTTGCGTTGCTGTCACGATATAACATTTTAACCAATGTTAACGCTGGAAAGGGTGATTTTGATTGTTTTATGCTTAGGCAAATGTTGGCATTTGTTATAATCATCTTTTCTGGCCGAGGCCAAGTTTACGACCATTGCCATATAACACTTCAGATTGATTGCATGTTATATATGCGTTGTCTTTGTAAAGGTCGCGCTTGGATTCGTGAGAAGTGCATCGAGTTCGCAAAACCGTGTTATTCTTATGTCACAAGATACAATTTGTTTAGGGGTGCGAGACTTTATACATACACCCCAATTTCATATTACCCAAACCAAATATGCATCGACCAAAGTAAATATATTTAAATGTCCACTGGGTAGCTATTATTGATGCATCGGGCAATAAGATAAGTTTTTGACATGGCATTCAATTCAACGTACATAAACACGACCACCGTTCGCAAACCAAATTTACCACAGCAGAGTAAAGAAGTTGTTGTTGGTACTAAGTTTCACTTGTGCATGGAGATTAGACTCCACAATTCTGGCTGTCTTAAAAAAGATTATCATAGCCTCCATGCTGACCTAGAGACATCAACTGCAATTTACCTTGCTGTGCACCATTACTATAATTGAAATGCTGTATCAGCAAACGACCCTCTTCTGCAAATTGCAGACGGCGACCAGTTATCAACTCACCAAACATACTATGTTGTAGTGATTCACCACAGTGATTCACTATTGTCAATTTCGCCAAAGATCAGTTGCAATTTAGCCTTAGTCCGGGTGGTACTCGTCTGGATTTTGGGTGGGAATGCTCCGCAACTGGCCAACACAAATTGACGTTGGAACGATCTTTGACTCAAAAATTAATGTTTTTCGCCAAAAAATCCTAAATGATGTTAAAATGGCCGAAAATCTTAAAACTGGAGGTCGAAAAGTCAGGCCCGACCATGAAAATACAGGTAGAAATATCACACATCCATATATTCCAACTACGGAAGTAGGCCTAGAGCACACCACAAACTGACTTATTTATAGTCCTCAATTCCAACCAGTTTGAAGGACGGCGCCCTCTGAAAACGCGAGTAAATCTACCGAACTTGAAAGTCCTACTGTCCTTTGACTGTCCATCCCCTAAACACTGCTGTCTATGGCATCGGGGTGATCCTTCCATGTCAGTGTCATACTTGTGACTGGGCCAAGTGTGGACTCATAGAATATGTCTCTTTAATCTGTTACACATTCTTTTAGTCCACAAACACATCAGGCCCTCTCTTCTCATTAATAGGACTAAAAGATGGTTCTGGCGTATTTACTATTTCAATCAAATGTTACACATTATTTGCCTCTGCCTTACACAACCGTCGTTCTAAATTCCTGGTCACTGTGTAAACCCTCAGTAACGATATGTACACTGGCCTTTGTCGCACTAATGGCGGGGACATCTCCATTGATGTTACCGTTGAAACAGATCTTAGACCTGGTTTTCAGCAGGTGATGACACCTATTTTTCCATACAAACTAGGAAACAAATCGGGACTTAATGCCATTACCAACCACACAATCTGCTCAAAAGTAGTAAACAAATTAAAAATAAAGTCAATCACTTTGCAGGTGTGAATATTTAAATTACACCGTCATACTCAACAGAGTATATATTTTTGGAATTACGAAAATAACTAGTGTACATAGGAAATAATGTGCATGTACGAATAAGACTTCAACATTTTGACATGACCCATTTAAAGGAAACATTAATCCAAACAACATAATGACCTCTGAAGAAAAAGCTCCACAAATGTAGGAGAATGCAATTTACAGTTTTTTAATATCACTTTTCATCTGTATTATGTAGTCAGCCATCTTGATTTTCAAGCAAAGAATTATGGGTAAAGTATGACATCATAGAATCTGTTGTCAGAAATTGAGAAAATAATTTCATCTATAACTTCAAAAGTTGAACTTCAAATTGGCTGAAAGTTTAGAAATAGGAAGCATACATGTACTGGTACCATCCATGTTCATGAAATAGTTGTCATGGAAACAGAACTGAAAATATTCATTTTTATGTTTTTCTACCAAATGCTCAAATAAAGATAAATCAAACAAAGGAACAAAAGTATTCACCACCTGAGGGCGCTGCATACACATTAATAATGTTCAGTGGATTACTCTTGTGTTTCAACTCCTGTAATAAGGTAAGAACCGACCTCTTTAAGTTCTTTTTATGTGAAAACTCTTTACATGGTTGTGGCAGTGTGCACTTAACTAGTGTATATGTTTATTGTGCAAATTTTAATTCAATTCCAAATGAATGAATTCAATTCTCACATGAGCACAACCTTTCCTCAATGCAGACAGAAATTGAAAATTAGCCAATTTGTTAGCTTCACTGAATACTGCCTCATTTTTCTAGACATTTTGATGCACATGATGGAGAGCATCTTTAGCGAAATTGAAAGTCTGGTCCGTTGCATCTTCATTCAGCCACATTGAAACCTACACTCACATTCTTGTTTGTAGGTAGATTGCTATAACTGTCTTTATCCAATCCTTAACTTTGAACAAAAAAGCAACCCAACCAACAGTATTGCAATATAGACTCACTGTTTTGCAAACAAATAGAATATCGATATCAGTTAAAAACTGTTATGACTACTGTACATAACAATAATTTGAATTCCGTATTTCTGAAAAACTAATTTTATTTGCAATATAATCAAATATTTACAAACTTCCTTTCTTTATTCAAAAGTATTCCATAATCATTGACTTAGTATAAAACCCAATATTCTAAAACTAACAATTTTATAAAAATAATGATATAATTATAAAAGTGCTACTTGAATCATGTACAAATATTAGGTTTGAAAACTAATTTACAGAATGAAAATTAGAGATATTAAAAGTACTTGATTAGATGACATTGATACCCAGAGAATATATTCAGTATTGCTAGACAAGGAATCCAATGACGGTCTGTCTTAACCTACATTGTATCCTAGATAGATGAATTTGTTTCAGAGAACCATGGTCCATGTGATGGCGACAATATATACAAAATCTTAAATTATCAATACAAGCCATGAGAGTTATAACTCTTTGAATGCCAAAGTCAACTACTGGTATTTCACCTTTCCCAGTAACATAATTGTTTATTTATTCAAAAACCTTCAGACAATGAAAAATTACTGTAACATTTGGTCCAAAATTGATGTCAAAAATATGTACAAATTGTTGCATTAAAATCTGATGCCAAAAAATATAGCATTCAATGCATTAGCCCCCTGGTCAATAAACACATCAGTTCACAACTTTTTTTTCTGGTTTCTGTCAAAATTTTGTAAAAATAAAAGAAAAACAAGAAAAGAATCAGCACATTATTTTCTGTGAGGATCTCAGGACCAGAAACAATTCTTTTTAGCTTAAAGCTTAAAAAAAGATTTTCTCATAGCCACCCCCCCCCCCCCAAAAAAAAAACTTCGAGAAAATCACCAAATCAACACCAACAAAAAAAATTATCCTATTGGCACCAAAATCAGTGTTTTTTTTCTGAAAATCACAAAAATAAATTCACAATAAATAACTATCACTATTAAAATACATTGAACTGTGTTCCATATTATACATACTTGTCCCAGGCCCCAAAATTTAATAAGTATTTTTTTTTTATTTATTTACAAATTTATGAGCAATTTAAAAAATACAAGGACTATACATAAATTTACCCCTAAAAAATCTTATCCAGGAGGTGTGACCTTTTGATACCATGGTAATGACATGAATTAGCGCCATCTGTGTTGAAGCAGCAACCAAGATGATTATATAAAAAGGGATTGCATGCAAATTAGGTAAGTATGCTGATTGTATTCATAAGATACACAGTTATACGGTACGGAAAACTGCAAATTGTGATAGATTATTCTCAATGATTTGTCATATTAAAGGTACATGCAAATAAGCAGGGGGAGGGTGATTTTACTTTAACTGACTTATCTTAGCAACAAAAAATAATTAAAAGTGAAAATAAAGTATACCATGGCATTTCGAAATAAATACAGTTTTTTTATCTACAAAAAATGTTCAATTCTTGGAAAACTTAATTACATGAAGTTTAAAATAATTACAACGATATTTACAAAAGTTGTCGGGTAAAAACAAAACTCATAAATAAATATGACTTAAAGCGGGGGAGTCGTCACCTGCGCATATGTCAGATGGCCGTAGCATGTCATTGATTACAAGCGTCTACCCATGAGCCTTTGCATTTTTAGTGTGTGTTATTATCGTTGGGAATCAATTCCCGCGCACACACAGGTGACAACCCTCCTGCTTTAAACCTTCCAAGACTTGTTCACTAGTTAATCCATTTTCACACATTTTGTCATTCTTTTTTTGGTATTATGCCCTCAATATGGCAATATTTGTCAAGAACTCCTGGATCCTAACTGACACCGGTACAGTCCTGTTCTGTACATATTTGATGTTACAAGAGACCGAAATCTCCAGTTTGTTGTCACTTGGTCATAATTAAGGTTGGATGCTGTTATAAAAATATGAAATACTGAATCCATGGCAGATAAATAATTACAATACTTTTTTTTTTAATTATATTAAATTATATTGATATGCATATCCATAATTTAGTGAAATAATTATGCCTGGGTTTTTGTTTTGAAGCCTAGCTTTTTTTTGTAATCTAACATTTTGAAATCATTTCAAAAAATTTACATATAATTCAGTGAGTTTTCAAGGTGATACTAGTTTTCTGTTGTATACAAGGAGAGGTTCTGACCCACAATGCATTGCATATATGTGCAGTGGCATGCATGTAGAGTAAAATTTGAATTAGGCGCAAACTATCTTAAAGTTAACAACGGCATCAAATCGTGTTAGTACATTCAAAGTGTACAATTTGCAAAAGCAAACTAGGGGGACAATCAGAAACGCCTACCCAGCTTACTCAATATCTTGATACAGCTACCTTTCATTGAGGTCATTATTGAACATGCACACTGCAAGATTTGTAAAATAACAACACCTGAACAAAATTTGTACATTTTTAACAATATTTCATGTCTTAGATTGAAACTGGAAAGTTTTTTTCTTTACATATCACCATGAGAACGCTACCACCATGGTTTGCTGATATAAAAACACACAAGTATGAGCAAGATGAGAAACAATCCATACGCCAAGTTTTGTTGGTAGTAGCCACCCTTGTTGTGCACCGTCATTGGATAAAAGGCTTCCCACGCACACGTATCATATTTGCAAACATTGGTGTCATTTACATAGTACCTGTAAAAGAGAAAATCAAAAAAATATTAGGTATCTGCGATAAGTTTTTTTCCCCCCACATTCTAAGCAATATTTCTTTCAAGATTGTAGTGAAAACAGTGTGAGTTCAAGTCAAAACTTACGATGCTGGAGCTTCAGGTTCTACAGCTGGAACTGAAATGAACGTAACTGTACTTGAAACGAGGAACGCTTGAACGGGTTCCTCATCAGTGAAGTTATAGGATGAAGCATATTCACCATAGCAACTGACTCCATTTGGACCAATACAGTTGAGCCTCATTGTTGATCTGGTGTAGCTGCAAAAAAGATTGAGAAATATGAACATGAATGAATGAAAAAATTATACAAGTTTTAAAATATCTCACAGTGCTTCCTTACACTATTATGCATATTAATAATAATGAAGTCCCCACAGTGTCATATTGGATAAGGAGAATCTAAGCGAGATAATAAGAGAGCCACAGGTGAGAAAACTTCCAATAATGAACAACGTTATATCATAACTGTAAAAAGTTCCAATACTCTTCTTTTTTCTGCTAAATGTGCATTATTTTCAGCATAAATGCAACCACTGATAATAGTGACCATAATTTCATGACAAAAAATGATCAAACTTTAACCTACAAATAACTGTGTGAAAACACTTCAACATCCTGAAATTGACAACATTCAATGTTTTTATTTTATTTTGATTTAGAATTGAAGAGAAAAATGTTTTATCTTGCACAAAAACATATTTTATATTTTAACAAATCTACTATTTATGTATAGATAACATATTGTTACAGACAATCTCTCAATTTAAACTTGTACTTTTCAGATGAAAGTGATCATGTGCTACACATACTTCACTCGGGCAGATACTATCTCCAATTGCTGCATCCCACGAAACTGTCCCGCTACGGCCGTCAGGATTTCAATATTAATACCAGTAGGAATGTCATAACATGTACCAATAATCTCATCAGTGTTGGATATCGGTTCTGGGTAATAGATATCTTTCCCAGGAGGTAGAGTGCTAGTGGGTTCTGCAGTGGGTACATCTGTAGAAGGTTCTACAGGCACGTAGGGGTTATCTACTGGACTATAATGAGAAGAAAAAATGAGTAGCAGAGTTAGTATGATTCCCAATGAATTCAAAATACTGCATAGTGTTTGTCGTACTTGTACTAAAACTAGAACTGACGTAATCATAGAACGTGGCGAAGCATATGAACGAGATTACATGTGGGCAATGTGCATGAACAGTAATAACCTTCTATGTTACATCGCTGCAAGTTTTTGGTGACTCGTTTGAATTTCAATTATTTAATATTTATTGCCTGAATAGAAACGTGGAGAAATTATTTCACCATCACCATCAGTTATAGATATGTTTGTTGCAATTTTAGTTTTTGTTTACTCATTTGTTTGTCTGAATCACATGTTTTCATGAATAATTAATCACATGATGTCATAATGTGAATTATCAGGTTTATTTTTTGAAAAACAACAAAAGTTGACTTTGTGAAAGAAGGAAAGTGGTGTACGACTTACTTAAATATCGTAGCCCATTCATCTTCCACGTTAACATCAGCATTGCCTCTTTTACCGATATTATCTCCTGGAAATAACTGCTGCAGTTGTTGTTCCATCAAGTACCTAGAAATTAAATGAAGGAATACAAGCAATACTTGTTAAAATCATATTATTAATAGTATGAGAGTTTGTTATTGTACATGTATGAGATTTTGACATCAATTACAACCTGCATAAAGTCAATCATATTTTATGTTACAACTTTTAAAGTGTTCACCGGGAAGTCAAGGTGAGGTTTGTGATAAGTACACAATGTGAGTATGAATTGAAAGTTTCAAAACTAGTACCACCTTGGAAACTCACCATAATACATTTTAATTTTTTGAAATGATTTCACATTGTTAGATTTCATATCAATAATATATGACCTTTTCATCTTATGTCATTGAGCAAAACTGTGAGATATGAATAAATAATCTCACCATAGAAACCATTGTAAAAATGATAATTTTTCACGATATTTCAGATTCATGTATCTCCCAAAATCATATGGTAACCCTTTTTTTTAGTATTCTGATGGTATGAACTCGTAATAATGAAAATATGATGAACATGACATATAATTTGGCTTCAATTTGACTTGAACCTCTTTAAGTTCTCAATTTTTGTCTCAAACAAGGATGTGATTAAAATCTCACATAAATTCCAGATTGCCTTTCATACCTGAGTTCTGAACAGTTCTGAAACTGTGTCCATCCCAGTCGTATGAGACAGCCACTGGCAACGTCCTGACCAAAATACACGTCCATATAGTCTGACTCATCACATAAGCTGCCAGCACCTGTAGGCAAGAAATGTGAAAACTGAGCAGTGTGACAATGACAAAACGAGACAGGTTGAATATGTTGAATATTTACAGGCAGGACAGAGAAGATTTTTGGCACCACCCTTCTACTTCTCTCACATGAAATACACTACTGGTACTTTGAATGTAAAAATCCTAAACAAGCAGCCTATCGGCTGAGATAGCTTCGCTGTTAGAAATGCACATTTCAATTAAAGAACTGAAGACATCATCAAAAAATGAACAATATGTATAGTATCAAAGCAATCGGACTTACAGTTTTTAACAAGAAGTCGAAAATATCACTTTTTACCAAAAATGACAAAAATATTCACCAAAATTAGAGAATTAAAGATATCATTACAAAATGAACAAATCTGAGAGAGGTCCACATGTAGTACCTATATATGTAATATCAAAGCAATTGCACTTGCGGTTTTTAACAAGAAGTCGAAAATATCACTTTTTACCAAAAATGATAAAAATATTCACCAAAATTAGAGAATTAAAGATATCATTACAAAATGAACAAATCTGAGAGAGGTCCACATGTAGTACCTATATATGTGATATCAAAGCAATTGCGGTTTTTAACAAGAAGTCGAAAATATCACTTTTTACCAAAAATGACAAAAATATTCACCAAAATTAGAGAATTGAAGATATCAACATGAATGAACAAACCTAAGAGAGGTCTACCCAAGGTACATATACACCAAGTATCAAAGCATTCAGGCTTGTAGTTTTCAAGAAGAAGTCAAAAAAGTAAAACATTGACACGGACGACGACGACGACGGACAATCACTCATATGATAAGTTCCGCTCGACAAAGTCGACAGCGGAGCTAAAAAACCTGGTGTCTTTTATTTTTTTGTCCATCCTTGTCAGGACCCCCCCCCCAAAAAAAATTTTAAAAATATGTGAATAAGCATGAGTACCGGTAGAGTATATAATCAGGAGTTAGTACGATAAAACTATTTATTTTATAAAAAGAAGAAAAACAGAAAACAATTCAGCTTCTGCTTAGTTTCTGCTCATTTAGCAGTTTGAATTTTGGCATTTTTCATAAAATAAACATATTCTAAACTTCAATTTTTTTTTAAATGTTGATCAACATCTATAACTGATGGAAAATGATGTCCATTTGGTCTCAAATTAACAATCAAATGAGAGAAATATAACAAAGATTTATTGTGGAAACTGACAGAGCACATACCTGGATTCCACAGTTTGAGTCTGTATTGATCTGATGTGTTAGTGATAATGTAACCTCCCTCAGGTGTCTCAGTTCCTATAGGACTCATAGTTGTAGCGATCGTCTCATTGCATTCAGGTGGATCAATAGTAGAATTACCGGTACAGTTGAATTCTACGGGATACGTGATGTTTTCCACTATCGATGGCTGCTCATAAATACCTCTCCCTGTCAGAACCAATTTCCCAAGTATATAGCCTGGATTTCCAGATCTCTCAGTAATTTCAGCCTGTTCGAGAACCCCGTCTTCATTTTCATCTTGAAGCTCGTTCTGGTATGTATAATAGACAGAGAAGAACTGAGTGAACGATGGAAAGCCAGAAGTTGTCACGTCTGGTACCTTAGTAGTCGGGGGTGCGGTGATAGGGGTTTCGGTTGCATTTGCTGATTCAGTAGTGGCCTGTTGCGTGGTTGGTGGAACTGTTGAAGGCGGGAGTGGAGGACTGGTTGTAGCACTATCTGTTGTGATATCTGGTGTTGTCACATTCAAATCAACATCTCTAGTCGTGAGTGAAGCGGTTGGTGTGGGAATAAGATCTGGAGGAGCAGGTACGTATTCTGGACTTTCTTCTGGCTCTATTTCCGGGTCAAGATCCAGAGTTATGTTTCCAAGAATATAAGTTGCTTCCAAAAGAACGATTGCGGTGCCCTTCCATCTAATGTTGTATTGAGCACTAAGTACAGCATAGCTGCAGATGAACGAATCAAAGTCATATTCCGGAGCTGGTGGGTAAGTGTATCCATCATCCCAGGGGCAACGGGATAATTGAGATAAATCAATCCGACTGCTGTCAGTGTTGTTATCTGGGAAGAACGAAGGCTCAAATCTCGGAAAAATCTCTCTTGTTGTCAAGTCTGATTGTTGGAATGCCGTAACATCATCGGTACAGTAATATTTAGTTGTCACTGGAGCAGCATCAGTTGTTCCATGTTCACTAATGACTTTGGTTACTGTAGGACATGGTGGCTGATCTACATTGGTTGATATCACATACATCTGTGCGCTTAACATTGAACTTGAGGTGCAGAGCGACTGTAAAGGCAGCTGTACACATGATGAATTAGCGTCAACCAAATACCGTATCGGGGACATCCAAGTACAATCATGGGTGTTAGAACTAGGCATCGGTAGAGACAAGAAACCCTCATTGCTAGTCATAGGATACCTTGTTTTAACAGCAATTCCTTGTTTATACCCTTCTGTTGCTAAGTCCGGGTGTACTTCCTGTCCGTAACGCCTACCAGGATCGGCGTAACTGTAACCATCATGGTCAGAGTCTGCTAGAGTATCTCGATAAGATCCAATATCACGTACACCCAGCTTAGTATCATAGTACAAACCCAGGTACGGAGTACTTGTAATTTCAATACAAAGTAAAGGATGCCAGTCTGATGTATAGACATTGACGTTTTCACAGGTGTATTGATATCGCTCTTCGTCTTGTCCACCAGGAAGGCCAGGAATACAAGCAGAGAAGGTTTCTAACTCTGAGTCAGTGCAATCCTGCAAGATATAGCCAATTATAAACATTCGTCAAACATCCCAAAAGGAGAATTCAATCTATTTAGCTGGTCTTGAATTGAGGAGGTATTTTGAAAGTTATTCTAAACAAAGAAAATTTGATTTGGGGAACTACAGGTCTCATGCCACTAATCAACCCAATCAATCACTTGCAAGAACCAATGAAATTATTTAAATATTTTTTTTCTCAGGTGCTCCCTGTTTGAGGGCATGATCACCTGAATCAAAGGTGAGACCAACATGTGGTCTTTTGTTTACTACTTAGCGGCTGTGTACCTGTAGGTTTATTCTGTGTGTATTTGGATGTTCTAATCTTAGAGTTTTTCCAGTGATTTCTCTAGATGCAATCCAAATACAGTAGGTGTGCCTTGTTTACCTGAGATTCGCAAGAGTTTGAGCTGGCCAAAATGTTATTTTTTTTCATGTGGTTGATTACTGGCATGTTGATTTCCCATTTTTGAGCCATGTTTTCAACTTTGTTCATAATTTTCATATAGCAATCTCGTCATATGTTAACATTGTCGTCTATGGAGTTTCAATTAGTGGTATGAGCACTATAGCGATATGGAACCCATACAGACATGCACAACGCATGTAAAACACATTGTTTGTTTTTATGTAATTCAAATATATACTGCACAATAACTATAGCACTTTAAATGCCACAAGAGGGTGCTATATATGTACATGTAATACTGTATAGGTTTTACTTACCACATCACAACAACATCCAGTATCACAATGACCAGCTGTCATGTCACAAGCACAAGGAGCTAGTTCCACGTAAGCTGTGTTCGGGATTTCAGTTTCTAAGGTTGGGTCAGCTGTAAATAATTATTGTGAAACTTTTTTTTACAAAGAATGATCTCATGAAAAATGTGCATTTATGATTACTGAGCATATGTCCAATGCATTGTGGGTGACAAATTCTCAATGTTTATAATAGGACAATACTATCCCATTAATATGATGAAATTCACTACGTTCAATTATCGACCATAGGCTCCGGTCAGTCAAAATGACTATTTTGAACTGTAGGCATTATCAGCGATTCTGCCAATGACGGAGAGATAGAATCTAGGTCAGGGAAAGCCCCAGGACCCCAAGATTCTTTTCCCTTTACGTCACATGACCGAGCCTATATGGCGGAGCCATTACGACTGGACATCCACTCTGCTTTTTCTCCGCCTCATTTTGATTGACCGGAGTCTATGGTGGGTATGAACTATGTGAATAGGCGGGTTCGGAGAACCCTCTGCCTAAATTCGGTCACTATAGAACCCAAGGCAAAAACAACATGAATATTTTTACATTTCCTGAAGAAAATACATATGCATCAATGATTGTTTTCCTAATTGTTCAGTACTATACTAATGCCATGGATAAATATTTTGTTGAGAGTACAACCGTTTTTTTTTCTTATATATTTTCTTAAATGCAAATGGCTGCATGTTGAGAAGAAGAGAACTATGCGAGTTGTTTTTTCACCTCAAAATAGTTTTTGAATTTTTTCATATCATCACACCAAATATTCTACTCATTGAGATCAGGGTTCACATGAAAAAAGAATGATCCTGGTCAAATATTTTTTTTTTTAAATTTTTGCTAAATACATTGTATTTGTACGTTTTTGACAGCACACAATTCATCAACAGAGGACGCTGTGAAGCTCCAAAAAACAAAGTAAAAACAAAAATCAGCCAAACTAGACTAGAAACAGCAATGATAGAATTTGCAGCAAAGATGTAGATAATAATAATATGATTGGATATAATTGCACTATGTCACAGTGTGATTTCTGTATTTATTTTTATGGTTGTTCCAATATAATGGCAACCAGTTTGCATAATTTGTAGATCGATGACACATGTAATTGCCTAGGACAATCACTTACAATGTATTGCATTTAATCCCTTTACCATATATCCCAAATTTGAGTTTACATTTACTAATTAAACAATGATTTTCTTGGTTAATTAGTGGCAAACAAACATAGCGTGGTTATTGTTTACAAACAAGCGTCTAGCCATGAGCCTTTGCATTTTTAATATGCACTGTTATTGTCACTTACAATGTAGGACTCAATTCCTGCATCTGTGCAGTTGATAATCCCTTTTTTTAGGTGGCAACATAGACCACTTTTCTGAAAATTAATGGCTTGAACTTTCTCTTAGCCATTATTGGCGAATGGTAACCAAATCTAAAACTCATTATCCACTGTGAAATGGTTAAGTGTTAGTGAAAGCCCAACCCAAGCACACACACCTGTGTTTTGAGTCTAGAAATAAAGAAGTCATAACCAAACTTACTTGATGATAGAGTCCAATTTATAGACATATCTTCAGTGAGATCTACCACCATTAGCAATGCAGTTGAGTCGTTGATATATTTTGGATTAGCATTGTTCTGATACGGTGCACAACATGTTAATACAACTAACTCTTGAGTGGCAAAACTCAGTGGGCTGTGATGAAGTACTTCAATAGTCTGGTAGATATCACCTGGCTGTTTTACAGAGAAAAACAAAAAGAAACTATATAAGCATTGCCTAAAATGTTTTGACAGAAAATAAAAAGATTTGTGCCACAGTCATTGTACTATGCCATGTTTGATATCGACCACATGCAATTCACATGTGTGCGTAAAATTCAATTTGTTTGTTTACAAAGAATTTAAACATTTTCTGTACAACTACTGTCATGCTTTCAGAGAGTTGACAAAATTAAGACAATTCGATAGATGGTTCAGTGCAATGCATATTCTGTATTTCCCCTTTTATAAGCACAGTTAGTTGATATAAACCAAAGATTACATTTATCAAACAC